CCCCGAGTCAAGGGTGAAGGTGAGGGAGGTCGAAGCCGACGCAGTACCTGAGAGAGCAGACTCACCAGCACCTGAGGACGCAGACGCACTAGCACCTAGAGCAGCAGCCTCGCTGGCACCTAGAGCAGCAGCCTCACCAGTACCTAGAGCAGCAGTCTCAATGCCCGGGTCGGGCGGAAAACACCGGTAACAGTCACCCTCTTCACTAATAGTCACAGCATACATGGCAGCAAGAATAGCATCAAAGTCAAGGTCAAAGACAGCTACTCCCGCCCTAGACAGCTCACCCCAGCGGGGGATCTCAGTGGCCTCCGGGAACTGGTGACGCCAAGCGTCCGTCAGGCGGCCAAAGCAGCGCTGGGTGGAGTGCGCACCCCCGCACTGCTCACCCGCGCGGTCGCCGGTGCGCAGGACGTAGGTGCACGGACCAGCCCCCCCACCCCGCTGGCGTGCAGCGTACCACTCACGAAGCTGCTGAGGGGGGGGGATGTCATGAGTGCGCTGCTGCTGCTGCTGGCGCTGACCATTGCCGGAGCCGACCCTCTGTTCAGCGCCACCCCGACCAGCTCCACTTCCTCCGCCACCGCCTCCCCCACCGCCGCCACCTCCACCGCCTCCGCCACCGCCTCCCCCACCGCCGCTACCTCTGCTCCCACCGCCACCACCGCCGCCTCCTCCGCCTCCACTGCCGCCACCCCCACCTCCACCCCCGCCGCCACCCCCACCGCCACCCCCACCCCCTCCGCCGCCTCCACCGCCGCCTCCACCGCCCCCGCTAGCTCCGTTAGCGCCCCTGCCCCCGTTGCCCTTGCCAGGTCGGCGCTTCCCGCTAGGGGTAGACGCCGCACCGACCGACTCCAGACCAACAAGGTTGGCCGCAGCAGCAGAGGCAACAGAGGGCAAAAGGGGGGAGGGGGAACACCCCTCAAAGATGGGGTTGCGAGGGTCACCACGAGAGGCTCCTACAGCTACTATGCTCTTCTCCGCTGCTAGGAGGGCCTTCTCGAGGAGGTCAACGGTGAGAGTGGTGGGGCAAACGGAGAGGAAGTGGTCCCTGACTACGCGAAGGGAGTCAGGTAGCCGGATGACTATGTAGTCGAGGGTGATGTACATGGGGGGAGGGTTCTTGGCGCAGAACTCAGCAGGAAGCGCAGCACGGTAGCGAGTGTCACTAGTGCGGAGGTGCGTAATGAGGTCAGCGACTGTGGGAAAGGCAGCAAGGTCAGGGAAGAGGTACGGCAGCATGAGGCGGCTCAGTGCAGCAGTGGCAGGGGAGGAGTAGCGTGCAACTACAGCGTCGTACAAGGTCTGAGCACTCTTGTACTGACTAAAGTGCGCACGCTCAGAGGTAGGCAGGTGGCGACGCACAGCAAGACGTGCAGCAGCATCGCGTGTGGCCCAGTGTGAGCGAACAGTGGCGTCGGCATCAGCAACAGGGGCAGGAGAGGCACCAGAGGTGAGGTCAAAGAGAGAGAGACCGTCTGCCCTATCGCACTGTAGGAAAAGCTGCAGGTCATCTACCCAGACGTCAAAGTCAATGGCCCGAACCTCAGTGTCAAAAGTGAGGACACTAGGGGTAGCCATGACAGCAGTAGACTAGCAGCTCGAACAGTAGGGTAAGGGCAGTGCAGTGACAGAGGCGCTGCTCTTACCGGACAGGGCGGCTCGGGCGGCTCGTCGGCTCGGCGGCTCGGCAACTCGGCGGCTCAGGCGGCTCGGGCGGCTCGGCAGTACGGCGGCTCGGCAGGAACTGCGACTCGGCGGCTCGGGCGGCTCGTCAGCTCGGGCGGCTCGGGCGACTCGGCAGCTCGGGCGGTTTGCGCGGTGCGGCGGCTCGGGCGGCTCGGGTGGCGGGCGGCTCGGTAGCAGGCGGCTCGGTAGCAGGCAACGGCGCCGGCGGCTCGGTGGTGACGGCGGGGCCGCGTGGGGACGGCGGTGGGGCCGGCAGAGGCGGCGCCGGGGCCGCACAGGTAGGCGACGGGGCCGGGAAGGGCAGCGCTGGGGTTGCACAGGTAGGTGACAGGGCCGGGAAGGGCAGGGCCGGGGCCGTAGGTAGGCGACGGGGCCAGCAAGGGCGGGGCCGGGTCGGGAAGGGCGGCGTCAGGGCCGCAGGGTAGGCGACGGGGCCGCAGGGCGGCGGATCGGGGTCGGGAAGGGCGGCGCCAGGGCCGCGGGGTAGGCGACGAGGCCGCAGGGCGGCGGATCGGGGCCGGGAAGGGCGGCGCCAGGGCCGCGGGGTAGGCGACGGGGCCGCAGGGCGGCGAATCGGGGCCGGGAAGGGCGGCGCGAGGGCCGCGGGATAGGCGACGGGGCCGCTAGGGCGGCGGATCGGGGCCGTCAAGGGCGGCGCCGGGGCCGCAGGGGTAGGCGACGGGTCGCTAGAGCGGCGGATCGGGGCCGTCAAAGGGCGGCGTGACACAGCCGCTAGGGCGGCGCGACAGGGTCGAGAAAAGGGGAGCTCGACTCGGGCAAGGGCTGAGCGCGCTCCGGGCAGGAAAAAAAATCGAATCGGTGGGCCCTAGGAACAGTTCCCACGAGGGAACCTGCTCGATAACACGAGAAAACTGAAATGAGAATGAATGAACTATGAAACAGTTGGGTACAAGTACTAACCCTAATTGGGTTGTACCCCTTATGGGCTACCCCACTACAGCCTACACAAATGCATAAGCTATAATGTTCTGACACGTATCGTGGCCGTCCTAAAAATCGATGATGCCTGATGCGTGACAGGTGTTGAAGTCCCGTCGTTCGCACGTGCTGTTCCTGCCGAAGTTCCTTCGTGTTGTAGCGTTCGCCTCCACCACTCCAGCGCAGGTCCTCGCAACAGTGAAACTGCAAAATTAATGCGGGTGGCGTCATCATAAATCATAGCAGCATTAAAGAACACCTCCACACCGAACAACCACGCAGAAACAGTGACAAACTTGTCACTCGGGTTAAACGGGGGCGAGTTTGTCGGCTTGATTTTCACAAAAGCCGTTGCTGCCATCGGGGCCGTTGGCATTGCTGTTGGCGTCGCCGTCGTCGTCGCTGCTGCACGTGGTGGTACTGCACGCGACTGTTGTGGCGACTGCTCCTGCTGCGCCTGCCTTGCTTCGTTCGCATCCATCTCGCCTTCCAGCTCGCTCCAGACCCGCTCATCTGGTGTAGTGCTGCTACTTGCGTCGTCCACGACAGGCGACTCCTGGCGCGCTTCACCACGCGCCTGGTGTAGTTCGGCGTTTTCCTTCCGTAGACGCTCCATCTCTGCAGTCATACCCTGCAAGTTGGCCTGCATCGCACGGAACTGTTGCATGAACTCGTTGAACTCGGCTTGCTCCATGTGCCTCAGGCTTCGTCGAACGGGCGGGGGGTGGCTCGCGATTTTTCTGACTTTGGTGAAGGCGTTAATGCTATCGTAGTCGGAGTGGAATAATCAGATCTATTCCACGGGCCGACCGCTTAACAGCCCACCAAGTCTATCGCTCCCCTTCTACAAACTACCCCGGAAACGCGAGGGTAACCTAGGACTTTAGGCTCTGATACCAAGTGTTATAAGTTGTGAAAGGAAAGAGTGCGCAGAACTCAGTAATGCGGAAGTGATTACAACGTCTGACTGAACAACGAGGCCTAGGCACAATATAGCAAGGTTAGCTAGGCCGAGGTCGCGGGGTCGCGAGATGGTTGGGTGCAGGTTCGGGGTTGGAAAACCTGAAGGCGACGCGGTGGTGGCTCGGAAGGCGAGGTCGGCGGGCCGAGCCTGGTTTCCCGAAAGTCGGAGTTGTACGCGTACAGTGTGACCCAGTAAGGAATCCGAAAAATTCCTTACAACACCACTGACTGTTCAGCGCTTTTATTTTCTGTACTATGAAAAATCAGCACTGGAAATCAGTGTTTGGCCTCCGGGGGACACTGACTGATCAGCGTGCCCCAAAACGAATCTGAGGGCCTGCCATGGACCCTTCGTTCGTCCCGTAGCGCGGCCCCTGCGGGCCCTCTGTTCGTCCTGTAGCGCGGCCCCTCGCGGCCCTTCATTCGTCCCGTAGCGCGGCCCTTGCGAGCCCTTTCGTACATCCGGTAGCGCGCCCCTCCCGCAGGCCCTTACGTTCATCCCATCGCGCAGCTCCCTGCGAGCCCCTCGTTCGTCCCGTAGCACGCCCACCCCCCCGCGGGCCTCTCGTTCGTCCCGTAGCACGGCCCCCATTGGCGCTCCCTTCACCCGTAACCCTAGTGTTCATCGCATGTCGCCTTAGCACCCACGCCCATAACCCTAGCCCGTCGTGCCCGTCACCCGTCCATCACCCTAACTCATACCCGCGCGCTGCTGCAACGGTTCATGCCGTCGCTAGCAGCAGTAGCAGCTAGCGCCAGAAACAACAGCCAGCGCCAGCAACAGCAACTAGCGCCTACAGCAGCAGCCATCGCCAGCAGCAGCCGCCCGTGCCTTCGCTACATTCTGCCCGACGGCACCCCACCGCACTAGACTATTTTCCACCGCACTAGACCGCTCCCCACCACACTAGACTGCTCCCCACCGCACTAGACCGGCCCCCACTACACTAGACCACACCTGAACGCCCTAAACCACACCCCGTCCGCACCCTGTTCGCGCATCCTGTCCGCATCCCACCCCCCCTCCCGTCGACTTCGCATCTGCTGTGAAGGGAGTGGCGGAAGTGGCGGGAGTGGCGAGAGAAACTGCGCCATTCACCTGCTCGCGCCAGACCGCTCGCACCCTGACGCCCGCACGCACTTCACCGCCCGTTTCCGTCCCGCTCGCTTGAAAGCCCCACGGGCCCTGCTCGTCACCCAACGCTGCGGCTGGTCGCGTGTGCAGCGGCGGTCGCGGTTGGGGGAGGGGGGGGGGGGGGGGGGTGGGAAGAGAGAGAGGCAAACGCGAAGGGCGTGGCGGCGGACCGCCAGCCAACTCGCCAACCGTCCGCGCATATCCCCCGTTCTCCCGTCAGAACCCGCACCCAGCGACCATCCCGTCGTCCCGCCTCGTCCTTGCCCCACCGTCAGATCCCGCCCCCCCCCACCATCAGATCCCGCGCCGTTTCCATATGAGGGGGAGGTGGTGGGGTGTTGGCCCGTGGGGGACGGCTGGGGGAGGGGGAGTGGCGGGGTTGGCGGTTCATGGGTGGGGTGGGGAAGGGGGGGGGGGGGGGTGGTGGGCGGATGTCACCAGCACCAGCACGAGCACTAGGCACCAGCACCAGCATGAGCACCAGCACGAGCACCAGGCACCAGCACCAGGCACCAGCACTAGCACCAGCACCAGCACCAGCACCAGCGCCAGCACCGTCACGCCAGCACTAGGCACCAGCACCAGCGCCGTCACGCCAGCACTAGGCACCAGCGCCAGCCGCCAGCACCAGCACCGGCACCAGCGCCGTCACGCTAGCACTAGGCACCAGCGCTAGCCGCCAGCACCAGGCACCAGCACCAGCGCCAGCCGCCAGCACTAGGGACCAGCACCAGCACCAGCCGCCAGCACCAGGCACCAGCACCAGCGCCAGCCGCCAGCACCAGGCACCAGCGCCAGCCGCCAGCACCAGGCACCAGCACCAGCGCCAGCCGCCAGCACCAGGCACCAGCACCAGCGCCAGCCGCCAGCACTAGGCACCAGCGCCAGCTACCAGCACCAGCACCAGCACCGAAGCCAGTCACCAGCACCAGCACCGGCACTAGCGCCGTCACGCTAGCACCAGGCACCAGCGCCAGCCGCCAGCACCAGGCACCAGCACCAGCGCCAGCCGCCAGCACCAGGCACCAGCGCCAGCCGCCAGCACCAGGCACCAGCACCAGCGCCAGCCGCCAGCACCAGGCACCAGCACCAGCGCCAGCCGCCAGCACTAGGCACCAGCGCCAGCCGCCAGCACCAGGCACCAGCGCCAGCCGCCAGCACCAGCACCAGCACCAGCCGCCAGCACCAGGCACCAGCACCAGGCACCTGCACCAGCAGCCAGCACCAGGCACCAGCACCAGCGCCAGCCGCCAGCACCAGGCACCAGCACCAGCGCCTGGCACCAGGCACCAGCACCAGCCGCCAGCACCAGGCACCAGGCACCAGCACCCTCTGGTGATTCTCTCTCTCTCTCTCTCTCTCTCTCTCTCTCTCTCTCTCTCTCTCTCTCTCTCTCTCTCTCTCTCTCTCTCTCTCTCTCTCTCTCTCTCTCTCTCTCTCTCGCCGCCTCCTCCTCAGTTACCTCTCTGCCGTCTTCCACTGCACTTGCTATACCCCTTCAGGGGGTGTGACTTGCTCTAGCTATGTGCTGCAGGCAGTTAAGAGGGTGTGTCGCGATAAATTTATGTTATATATGTTTATAACTGTCTGTAGCTTTAGCTTTAGTGTAGTTATGTTTCCTTGCTGTTGGTGGTGCACCTTTGCTTGTTTGCTATATGTACCTTGTGTGCTATAGTGAACAACACAGATTCTCACTTTCCTTGGCACAAACTTCTCGACACCCACTTGGCCTAGGCTACTAAGCCTAGGCCCTCCTTAAACCCGGTTACCAGCTACGATAGTGTTTTGACAGCATTGGCCTTCGTGAAGGAGGAACTGTAGAGGAGACACACTTGCACTGACCTTGGTGAGCTGCAACGCTACCTTGACTTGTAGATCACTAGAGACAGGGCACCTCGCACCATTACGCTGACAAAGTCGCATATGGTCGAGCAGATCCTCACGTGGTTTCAATTCCCATTCTCCAAGGTACAGCTCACCCCTCTTGCTGTGGATCATGGGCTCACGGCTCCACCTTCGGGCGAGTCATTTGAGTCAAGTGGTCCATATCCTGAGTTGGTGGGTTGTCTCATGTACCTGATGACCTGTACTCGCCCAGACCTAGCTTTCCCTCTTAACGTCTTGGTGCGCTTTGTTGCGTCTCGGAGACACCGACCTTCTCACTGGTTGGCTGCTAAGAAGGTGGCGAAGTATTTGGTAAGCACATCAGGCATGGGACTTGTCATTGGAGGGAAGCAGCCAGTTACAATCACAGGTTTCTCGGAATCGTCATGGGCCGGCGATGCTGAGACTCTGCGATCTATAAAGAAGAACTATTGCAGGCTTGGGATCGAAGCTGTTTTTTGGAGGTCGACTCGGGCGTCGTCCATCTCCGGTTCTAGCAGTGAGGCAAAGGTGTACACTGTGGCCATGGCCACCCAGGAGCTTTGCTGGCCGTCTTTCCTCCTCACCGACCTTGGTGAGTGGCCTCGCTCTCCCCCAATCTTGTTCGCTGACAACAGGTATGCTGTCCTGTTTTGCAAGGAGCCTCGACTGGTTGGGAAGGTGAAGCACATCCAGCTTCGTTACTTCCTCCTACTTGAGTTGCAACAGCATGGCCAGGCATTCGTGAGACGTGTGGTCTTTGAAGCCAACACAGCAGATATCTTCACCAAGTCGTTGCCGCCTTGTGACCACCAGCATTTTTGCACCCAGCTAGGCTTTGTGTTTACAGGCCCTCACTTGCTTGTCTAGAGATGCTTTGTCTTGTATTCTTGCATCTCACTATATTTGCTACATCTATGCTTGTGGACTGGCCTTGTGGCCCCTTACTTACGTAGATATGTTTGTCTTGCTTGTCTTGTACTTTTTCATCTCCTATATTTGCTACATACTTTCATGTGGACTGTCCTTGTTGCCCCTTCTTGCTCTCTGACTGTGTGGTGATCATTTGATCCACCCTGAGATTTGTGTTCTTGTGGAATGGTCTTGTGATCGTTGTTTGTTCTTGCTGACTGTCCCTTCGACCCTCGCTCTTAGACTGTATGGTGACTTCGTGATCCACCCTGAGCTATGTGTTGTTTTCCACATGACTACCGTCACCTAGACTATGGGGGTGTGTCAAAATATAATTGTTATATATTGCTAGTTTAGTCTAGGTGTTTTATATTGTGTTACATTTGTCCAAGCACAAGGGTTATTGTTTGCTATATCAACCCTTGTATGCCCTTGTTTGCTTCATTTATTCTTCTGTTCTCTCGTTGATAGCTAGTGCCAAGCAGCAGCTAGCGTGCAACACCAGATAGCAATGCAACAGCAGCTGCAGCTCGCACGCACTAGGAGCAAAATCTAGCTAGTAGCAGCAGTAGCTAACAACGCTAGCAGCAGTAGCAGCGCACCGCGCGCTAGCTGCGACAGCAGCAGCTGCAGCGACCACTGTGCTGCCCGTAGCCGCCCGTACTACCGCCCGTGCTGCCACCCACCGCTGCCCAAAATACCGCCTATAATGCTGCCCATTCTGCCGGCCATAGCCACCCATACTGCTGGTTGTACGGCCACCGTACTGCTGCCCGTACAGCCGCCCGTGCTACTGCTCGTACTACCACCTGCCGCCACCCATACTACCACCTGTCTTGCCACCCGTGCTGCCACCCACTGCCACCCACAGCTGCACAAACTGCCTCCCGTACCACCGTCCGTACTACTGCCCGTACTGTCGCTCGTGCCGCTGCCTGCATTGCCGCCCATTGCTGTCTTTAGTGCCGCCTGTCTTGCCGCCCGTATTGCCGCGCGCATTACCGCCCACTTTCGCCCACATCCCCCCCCGTATTGCCACCCATACTGCCATCAACACCCACCCGTACTGCCACCTACTAGGTTACCACCCGTGCTGCCCCTGGTAGACTACGCCCGTGCCGGCCCTGTGAGATCGAAACACGTGCCGCCCCAGCTAGTCTACCGCTCATTCCACCCCTACGAGGCTGCCGTCCGTGCCGCCTCTGCTAGACTGCTGCCCGTGCTGCCCCTGCTGGCAGCTGCCTGAGCTACTCGCCCGCACCTCCTACACGTGTTCCTACAGGTGCACCCGCCACACCACCCACCCTTGTGGTTAGGCTTTCTATAAGCTTCCTCCTAATGTGGTCGTTTCCTCACGCTTCTTCTTTCTGTGTCGATGAAGCAGTAGCAACAACTGTAGCAGCAGAAGCGGCAGGTTTAGCAGCAGCGCCCACAGCAGCCTCAACAGTGGGTTCCTTAAAGGCAGTGGGGTCTTGTCGGCCCTGGGAGAATTGGACGTGGTTGTGGGCCTGACAGCTTGACGTCGCGCAGTATATATGCCCGATCCTGCGCCGTGGTTTTGTCTGCAAACATGCTCACCTTGTTGAGCAGTGCTTTGGTCGCCTCACCGGCCTCTACCAACAGCGCTCCGGCCTTGGTGCCACTGCCAAGAGCTTGGCATTAGCGCTCCGCCGGGGCCACCGAATTTTTATTATGGATATAACTGATGCGCATGCTCCTTTGTATTCTACCCCTGTCATATCCCTTGATGACTATAATGCTGCTAGATCTTCTTATTCGTATGTCCAGGCTAGGAAAAATAGCTGTTCCTAATGTAGGATCTGCGGAGATAACTCTCGCAACGAGAGCTGGTCTACGGGCTAGGCATGGGGTAGGAGTGATCTCTGCGTTCGTTCCTTAGTCGTTTCCTTGTGTGCTCACTACTTGCGCATTCACAGGGAAAATCGGCAAGAGTTTCACTAGCAAAAGTTCACAACAATGGTTCAGAATAATGATAGCAGCAAAGTTGGCTAGGCTGACTACATCAAAGCTAGCATGCAAGCAAGATGACTGCCAACACAACATGGTCGACCGCGTTCCAGCACGACTCGGTCGATCGCGCTCCAGCAAGGCAAAGTTGTGGCCCACCAACACTATAAGTCGACGGCGTGCCAACGCTGCAGCAAGTCGGCTGTACAGCGTTGCACCTGCTTCGCAGGTGCCCGCAGATGATTGGCGCGTCATGTCTGTCACCTGCACAATGCACATACCAGATCGTCTTTGTGCTGACGACTGCATCTGATCAACCATGTCGACCTCGGGATACCACACCGAGGTCAGCCTCGCCAATACCACCTGGGCGACCAATACAGTCCTCCGCAGAACTCCGTCGCCCAGGTAACATGGTCGACCGGGCAACCACGTCGGCCAGCAGCTCCTCCTTGTGCCCGTCGACCACCCAGGTCGACGACCACCATTGGTCGACCACACCAGGTCGACTGCGCACCTGGTCGACCAGCCCCAGGTCGACCACACTCCTGGTCGACCAACTTCAGGTCGACTAGCATGCTTGTCAGCCAACCTCCCAAGTCGGCTTCTCCAAGTCAGCGTCACCAAGTTCACGCCCTTCACAGGTCGACCTCCCAAGTCGACCTCCCAAAGTCGGTGCCCTCACGAAGTCGGCGCCTCTGCAGTATTCCCCGTGCATGTCGACCAGCCCCATGGACCAGCTCGCCCACTACTACAGGTCGGCTGCACCTCCCCGCATACGCGACCACGAGGTTAGCTCCGCCCTAGCGAGGACGGGGCCAAACATAACTCCCATTAACACTCCCCTGCCGCGCACGCTTGGGTCCCCAACCCATACGGCAACACCACTCGGAGAATAGCCCGTCGGCATGCATACAATACACAGCACGCCGGTCACTGCACCAGCCATGCATGAGGGCATGGCACCTACTACTGCACATTGTCATCGCCATTGCCCACGTCGGCCAGGCGCACTTGGCCGATTGCGACGGAGCACCGATTGAAGGCTGGATAGTGCAACGCCTTCGTCAGGAAGTCGGCAGGCTGCTCGGCGGTCAGAATGTACTTCAGCGTAAACTTTCCGCGCTTCACCATGTGCTGCAGCCAAGCTTCTCGCCGCTCCATGTGCTTGAGGTTGCCCGTCAACCCCATGCCCTCCGCAACCGATGGCCGACTTGTTGTCCACGCGAAGGACGGTCGGCGTCCTAGCGTCCAGTTGCCGGAACTCTGTAAGGAGGAAGCGAAGGCGGCGTCCCTCCTTGCTGGCTTCGGTTACCGCCACGTACTCCGACTCGGCCGACGACACCGTCGCGCGCTTGATGCGCTGGCTCGACCAGGAGGCTGCGGCCCCTCCGTAGACGAACACGCTGGTCCACCGCCGAACTCCTGGGCGGTGTCACGAGTATTGGCAAGGTAGGCGAGGCAGCGGCCGACCTCGCGCCAGTGCTGGTCGCACCTCACTATGAGGCCGCTCCCTAGCTTGCTGCAAGCAAAGGAGATGTCCGGCCTGATCGTCGTCCCCGCGAACTGCAGAGAGCCGACCTTCTGCCGGTACTCCTCCTCCTGGCCCTCATGTGCCTCCTCGTCGTCGAATGTCAGCTCGGCGTAGGCGTCGACTGAGATCGGCGTCTTCGGGGTGCGCCCAGTTTGCTCCTCGTCAATGAACCGCCTGCGCAGCTTGTCGGCATAGCCCTGCTTGTGCAGCCACAACTTCCTCGCCGGCCTGTCGCGCACAATCTCCAGCCCGAGGTACCTCTCCACCGGCAATATATCGAGCAGCTTGAAGGCGGCCTCCAGAAGCTCCTTCACCTCCTTCAGCATCACGGTGCTGCTGCTGGTGGCGAGCAGGTCGTTGACGTAGACCAGCACCCAGCAAGCCACACCATCTCTGCGGACCTTGAAGTACAAAGCCTTGTCGACCTGGCTCTTCTTCCACCCATCGCTGACCAGCACATCGTTGAGCGCCTTGTACCACAACAACGGCGGCTGCTTGAGCTTTTACATACTCTTTAGCTGCTTGCAAACCCAGCCGGTCCCGTCGTTGTAGTAGTCCGACTGGTACATGGACAGCACCTCGTCGAGCTTGCTCTGCAGGAAGGTATTCTTCATGTCGAGTTGCATTAGGTTGGGGTCGAGAATGGCAACGATGCTGAGGAAGATCCTTAGCGTGACATAGCTGCTCACCAGCGCATACGTCTCGTCGTAGTTGGCACTGTACACCTGCGTGAAGCCCTTCACGACCAGCCTCGCCTTCTCCCGGGCTACCGTGTCGTCGATGTGGTACTTGGTCATCAGCCCCCACCGGTTCTTCATGATGTTGACCCCGTGCGGGCGTTCGACCAACTCCCAAGTCCCCATGCCGATAAGGCTGCGGATCTCCTCCTCCATGGCGGCCTTCACCGCCTTGCCCTTCCCGCTCGTCAATGCCTCCTTCACCGTCATCGTCGCGATGTCCCAGTGGCGCTCGGGGTCAGCGTGCTTGTCCGGGTCGAGCTCAGGCAGGTCAACGTCGTCCTCGGCGTCGTCGTACAGCGGTCCGTCGTCGACTTCGCTGTACATCGTGGTTTAGGCAGCCGGCGGCAGGCATGCGTGGTAGGACAGGTAGTTAGGCGGCCTCCGAGTTCGGCCTGAACGCCGTAGTCCAGGCTGGACCTCCACCACATCGCTGCCGGTGGACACCTCGGTTTACAACACAGACTTAATTGGTAACCGGGTTTAACTAAGGGCCTAGGCTTAGTAGCCTAGGCGAAATGAGTGTCGAGGAGTTTGTGCCAAGGAGAATCGAGAATGGATGATGTTCACTATAGCACACAATGTACATATAGCAAACTAACAAAGGTGAAAGAGGTGCACCACCATACAAGGGAATTGCACAATAGCTACCCTACACGCAAATTATACTAATTGTATATAGATCTAATTTGACACACCCCCTATCTGCCTGAAGTGCATAACCATGTGCACAGCCCCCCTTGAAGGGGTACACCTGTAAAACCCCATTACAGGGCGTGGGAACACCAGCAAGGGGCCCCCTCTGAAGCTGACAAGCAGCAACCACCAAGAAGCAGCCGAACCATCGTAGTGGAACAGGTGCCCAGCTGCGGTTGAACGCTTCGCAGCAGGTGCACGGTGTGCGAGGAGCACGGGTACGGGTAGCGGGTTCGGGTAGCAACTAGGTGATGTACGGGACAGGCCGCACGGGGGTGATGGCCAGCGCGAGACCGGGCAGCATAGACCGGGTGGGGCACGAGCAAGAACTGACAGCACGGGTGGGGCATGAATGGGTACGGACAGCACGGGAAACATGAGGGCTGCACAGGAAGCACGGGGGCAGCACGGGAAGCACGGGACGCACGGGTGAAACGGGTGGAGCACAACCGGGTACGGACAGCACGGGTGAGACGGGTGGGGCACAACTGGGTACGGACAGCACGGGTGTAATGGGTGGGGCACGACTGGGTACGGACAGCACGGGTGAGACGGCACAACCGGGTGCGGACAGCACGGGTGTAACAGGTGGGGCACGACCGGATACGGACAGCACGGGTGTAACGGGTGGGCCACAACCGGGTACGGATAGCACGGGTATAACGGGTGGGGCACAATTGGGTACGGACAGCACGGGTGTAACGGGTGGGGCACGACCGGGTACGACAGCACGGGCATGGGCACGGGAAATGCGGGCGGATAGAACGGTCACGGGCACGGGGCAAGCACGGGAAACACGGACGGGTGGCACGCGCATGGGCACGGGGCAAGCACGGGGAAGTACGGGCGATATGGGAGGTATGGGGTAGGGGATAGGAGGAGGAGGCGGCTGATTCTGCAGATGAACTCTCACCACCCACACCCCCTGAACCTCCCCCCCCACAGCAGCAGTGACGGAGAAAGAGAGGTGGAGGTGTAGTGGCAGTAGGTGCTGTAGCTGAATCACCCACCCCCGCAACCCCCATAGCCTCCCCCCCATGAGTCGCCACCCCCACCACTCCCCCTCCCCCAGCCGTCCCCCACGGGCCAGCACCCCTCCGCCTCCCCCTCCTGTAGGAAACGGAGCGGGAGACATGGGAGGGGCGAAATCTGACGGTGGAGGGCGGTTTCTGACAGTAGGAGGGGGTGATTTGATGGTGGAGGGCAGGATCTGACGGTAGGGGGCGGGATTTGACGGTGGAGCAGGACGGGGCGGGTTGCAGACGGGGTGAAGACGGATGACGGGGTTCTTCTCACGGCGGCTAACCCTCCACCCCCATCCCCTCCACCTCCCCCCCACAGCGGCAACCGCGGGAGGGGAGAGGCAGGGCAGTGCGCGGGCGACGCGCTGCAGCAGGAGGCGGTGCGTGAGCGATGGAGCACTCGCCGGTGCGCTGGCAATCATCACTGGCGTTCCGCTGCCACTCCCTTCCCCTCTTCCCTCTCCCCCCAACAGCGTTCCACCGCCACTCCCATCCCCTCTTCCCTCTCCCCCCACAGCGTTCCGCCGCCACTCCCTTCCCTTCTTCCCTCTCCCCCCCACAACGATTGCCGCTGCACACGCGAACAGACGCGACAGAGGGAGGGGGGGGAGAGGGGGTTGACGGTCAGGGGGCGGGGGTAATGCGACGGGTAGAGCGACGGCGGGCTAAGGAGCGGCTGGGGCGACAGTAAGTAGGGCGACGGGAAACGGGGTGACAGGAAATGCAACGGGATGCGGGGCGACGGGGCGTAACGGGGAACACGACGAGCTCCCTCGCGCAGCTCGCCGTCGCTAACGCGGCAGTAGTGGGACATCAAGCAATGGTGTGACGGGCGGCTGTGCTGGCACTGGCGATGGCGGATCCGACGGCGGGTCCGTCGACTCGGATGCTGGCGGGCTCCTGCTGTGCGCGCTGGCGGCAGTTGTTGGCGCATGCTGCTGTGAGCTCGCCACAGGCCCGCTATCGCGTTCGCCACGTGCAGGATGCGACGGGCGGGTCTACGGGCAGCAGCGGGCGGGAATCGTGGGCCCATTAACTTAGGTCTAGGATCATAAAAGCTTTGATACCATGTTACAATACTGACTTGACTGGTAACCGGGTTTAACTATGGGCCTAGGCTAAGCAGCCTAGGCCAAGTGAGTGTCGAGGAGATTGTGCCAAGGAGAATCGAGAATGATGATGTTCACTATAGCACACAAGGTACATATAGCAAACTAACAAAGGTGAAAGCGGTGCACCATCATACAAGCGAATTGCACAACAGCTACAATACATGCAAATTATACTAAATATATATAAATCTATTTTGACACTCAACGGCCGACTGCTCCCCTCCATCGCCAGCGGCTTTGCTGCCCTTGACGTCCTGCTGCACCACAGTCGGCGTCCCTGTCGACTTCTCCCCTGTAATTGGCTCCCATGCCGACTACCCGGTCGCCGACTGCTCCTTGGTCGGCTCCGCTGGCGGCTGCTCCCCTGTCGGCGGCTTCCCTGCTGACACCTCCTTCTCCCCTGTCGGCGTCAACTTCACTCCCACGCCAACTTGCTTGACGTTACGTCGGCCACCGGCGATGCTCTTGGCCGACGCCACAGGCGACGCCCCACTGCTCCCCTCATTGCCGCTGGTTGACGCCGATGCCAGCTTACAGAAGTCGGCGACAAGGGGTGGGGTAGGAGGGGCAGGGGAAGGGGAAGAAGGGCGGACAACCTCAGCGTTTTCATCAGCAAGTTCATTGATTTTGGCGGGCAAAGGGAGCGTCGCCGGTGTTCGTCAGCGAATTGACCTGCCTCGGCCTCGACGCCGGCCCATGCTCTGACTTCCACACTTCCAGTAACATGGTTTCGTAGTTTACCATGTCCGACGTGGTGACTACCCGGCTGTCGATGATGTTGAGGAGCTCCCAGCCCTTGCTCTCCTTAGACACACTGAGGTGAAGGCCCCATCTGGCCTTCAGCTTCATCTTTCCACCGCGCTGCTACTCGTGACCAAGAATTGCGCCATGCAGCCTCACACCCGTGCCAGCAACAAGTCAGGCTTCTTCCCGGTGAGCAGCTGGTACAGCGTCATCCCCGGCGGCAGCGTCAACCTCTCAAGGCAGTTGCGGACCCAGATGGCCTGCCGCAGAGTGAGGTGCCACCAGTGGTGCTGCACGCCCATGTGCAGCAGCATCATCCGCACTGACTCCACCACCGTCCTCATCTCCCGCTCCGCCATGTCGTTCTGCTGCGGGGTGTAGGGGCAGGTTAAGCCGTGGACGATCCCCTTATCATCCACGAAGGCGGTGAACTCCTTTCCGAGGAACTCCCCTCTCTAGTCAGAGCGCAGCGTCAGCACCGACTTCTTCGCCTGCCGCTCGACCACCACCAGCCACTGCGCGATCTCCCGCAGCACGTCCGACTTCTTGGCGACCGGTCTCACCCACACGAAGTGGGTCTTGCGGTCCTTCAGCAGTAAGAAGTACAAGCTGCCATCCTTGGAAGCCACCCAGAACGGCCTACACAAGTCGATGTGCACGATGGCCAGGGCGTTCTTGGCGTCTGAGCCCTTCTCGGGGAAGAGGTGCCGCACCAGTTTCCCACCGACGCACGAGACACACGGAGAGTCGATGCTGGCCGACGGCTTGATGTCCAGGCCGTTGGCGACCTCATGCTTTGCCGAGCTCGTGATGGTGTCGACGCCGATGTGCGCAAGCCTGGCGTGCCATCGTGCCGACGTCGAATTCGTCGTCGAGACTATCGCCCCCAGGGCCACCACCTCCGTCGTGGGCGTCATCGTCGTCGCCGTGCACGGGCGCAGGTCGGTGCAAAAGACCCGGGCGGTATACTTTGCCTGACCAAGCACATCCCCTGCCGTTGAGACAAGGAGCATCCCGTCCCCGCCCTCCTGCAGCTTCACGCCATTCTCCTTCAGCTCGCCGGACGACAGCAGGTTCGCCTGCACACCCGGGACGTAGAGCACATCGGGGATGAGAACCTACTTCCCGGCTTCTCCTTGCAGGGCGACAATGCCGTGACCTCGGACGTGCTGCAGTGCTCCATTGAAGTTGCGCACGTGCTTGACGTCGCCGCTCGGCTCCAGGTCAACGAAGGCCTCCTTTGTCCTCATCAGGTGGTGCGTGCAGCCGCTGTCGATGAGGACCACCACCCGGTTTGTCTGCACAACTACCACCACCGCCAAGAAGTCATCGCCGGCCTCTGGCGCCAGCGATTCGGTCGGCTCCACGACACCGACTAGCGAGCACGACGCCTCCTTATCGCCTCGCCCTTTGCCGCCTGAGGAGGAGTCGGCGTCCTTCGCCGAGGTCAATTGCTTCTCCTTGTGCGGCTTGCTCTCCCGGCGAGAGCGATGCTCGGCCGACCTCCCATGGCCCCCCTTGGTGTCGTCGTCGTCGGAGTCACTCTTGGCGGGGCACTCGAAGGAGAGGTGGTCGGAGTCGCCACACACCCAGCATTCCCGACGTTGACCTTCTCCTCCGCGACCACCATCCCTAGCCAACTTTTTCTTGTCGGCGTCCTTCGCCGGCTTACCACCTCCGCTTCCACCGCCGCCAGACTGCCCGTGCTGCCCGCTTCAAGGCGATCTGCACGCCCGGCGAGCAGCACCCCGAGATGACCGTGAAGGTCAACAGATGCACAACGTGAAACTCCGCACGTAGCTTGGGGTTGCTCTCAGGCGGCGTCGCCACGGTGCCGGCGGCAAAGCACATCAGCCCGGCCATTTCCAGCTGGGGCTCGATGGCCTCCTTCTACATGAGGATGTCGGGGCGGCCGACCAGCAGAGGGCTAACGGCGATCCTGTCCGGCGTGAACTTGAAGTAGCCGTAACTTGGCGCTATCCCAGCCGCAGTCACGTGGGTCGCCAACGTCGGCGTCACGCTACTTCGACGTCCTCTGGCGTCGCCATGCGAGGAGTCCGCAGCCGCCGACGGCTGCAGCCCTCGTGCCTGAACACCGTCGACTTCGTCGGCATGAATCACTCATCTTTGCCTTGACGTGCCTCCCGCACAGCTGCCGACTTGGTCACCGGCGTGGATGCCTACGTCGACGCTGCCTTCGTTGTTCACTGGTCGAGGAGAGGCTGGTCGAGAAGGGTGCTCCGCCGCCCACAAGGCGCGGATGCCTGCCTCGACGACCGCCAAGGGGAGGTTAGGCCCGTAAACGCCATCCAGGTGGCATCTCCTCGCATCCTACAGCCGTGCCTCCGGGGTGTTTCCTACACCAGCGTCACCTACGACGACCACCATGGTGACTAGCGCACAGCTGCCAGCATACGAACACGATAGGTAAGTGGTACTAAGTCTGCTGGACTGAAGGTAATTCACGGTGCCATCCACGCTCATCGCACCATGCAGAGATAACTCTAGCAACGGGAGCTGGTACAGGCTAGGCACGGGGTAGGAGTGATCTCTGCATTCGTTCCTTAGTCGTTTCTGCGTGTGCACACTACTTGCACATTCACGGGGAAAATTGGCAAGTGTTTCACTAGCAAAAGTTCACAACAATGGTTCAGAGTAATGATAGCAACAAAGTTGGCTAGGCTGACTACATCAGAGTTAGCATGCAAGCAGGACGACTGCCAGCACAGCACGGTCGACCGCGTTCCAGCACGACTCGGTCGATCGCGCTCCACCAGTGCAAGGTTGCGGCCCGCCAACACAGTAAGTCGGCAACGCTGCACAGCGCTGCAACAAGTCGGCTGCACAGCGTTGCACCCACAGGGCAGCAGCACACCCGCTTCGCAGGTGCCCGTAGATGATTGGCGCGTCGTGTCTTGTCACCTACACAACGCACACACCAGATCGTCCTCGTGCTGACGACTGCATCTGATCAGCCATGTCGACCTCGGGATACCACACCGAGGTCGGCCTCTCCAAAATCTCCTGGGCGACCGTCGCAGTCCTCCGCAGCACCCCATCGCCCAAGTAACATGGTCGACCGGGCAACCACGTCGACCAGCAGCTCCTCCTTGTGCCTGTCGACCACCCTGGTTGACAACCACCACTGGTCGACCACACCAGGTCGACCGCGCATCTGGTAGACCAGCCCTAGGTCGACCATACTCCCGGTCGACCAACTTGAGGTCGACCAGCGCACCTGTCAGCCGACCACCCAAGTCGGCTTCCCCAAGTCGGCGTCACCAAGTCCACCCCCTCCACAAGTCGACCTCCCAAGTCGACCTCCCAAAGCCGGCGCCCTCACGAAGTCACGCCCCTGCAGTGGCCCCCGTGCAGGTTGACCAGCCCCATCGACCAGCTTGCCCACTGCTGCAGGTTGACTGCACCTCCCGCATACCCGACCACAAGGTCGGCTCCGCCCTAGCAAGGACGGGGCCAAACACAACTCCTGTTGACAGGATCTTGTGTTGTTATTAGCCCAGGTGCGACCACCGCTAGGGCGTTACTCTCCTTGATGCTTGACTCCTGCGCATCTCAGTGATTCTTCCATGACACCACCACCCACTTCCTGCTTTCGCCTCCAATCCCTCCTTGAGACTGGTTTTTGCACGCAGCGCCACTACACTCTCATGTCTGGCAGTCCTTTTGGATCGTCTTTCAGGTTTACACCTCCCCTCGTTTCCAGGAACTTGGTGAGTGTTGGTCGTCATCAGGACCTCGGCGTCACCGTCACCTTACTTGCGCACGAGCGGTTTGAAGTCTGTACGGGCGTTACCACTAAGGTGACTCTTGCCACGTTCTCTCGGGAACCCGCGTCAGGTCTCTTCACACTGCGCACTGAGTCCCCCCAGGTTGCGGGGCCAGGTCAGGTAGCTGTGTCGTAGTTGTGGTAATCGCCCACCCACCCGTCGCTCTTGTG